ACGAGGAAGGAAAAAGGTATGAGCTTGGAGGCATGAAAGAGGAATAATTGCAATCCGATCGCGACGGAATGGCACTCTCTTTTATGCAACCGCTCTAAATTGATCTCTTCCTTGTGTAAGTTTTTTTTATATAATGGTACTCTTCTTATTTTTGAGTATTTTGCATCTAGCAAGTTATTTGAAATTTCGGGGACGAAATTTTTAAAGGGGGGAAGATTGTGACAGCCCGTCCCGGAAAATATTGATTTCTATAATTTTTTTTAAGTGATTTTACGAAATTGCCTTTCGAGACACGTGTGTTGACGGAGATTATTTACGGTGTCATGACACCTAAACATTTCTTTCTTGACCTATCCTTGTAGTACTCGTCACTACGGACGTGTGGGCGCAAGCAATTCGTGATTTGGAGCTATAGCGAAGGAGTTATTAAAGTTTGAAATTTGATCAATTTTATTTATTTCAGAAAATATGGATTCTTCCTTTATAAAATCTGGTGTATTTGGATGGCCCAGATTTAAAGAAGAAGAAATGGATGGTGCGGATGGAAAGGAAAGAAAGGAAAGAAAGAAAAAAAAAAAAAAAAAGAGGTTGGGCAAACTGCCCAACCAGAGGGAGAGATGCAGTAGCTCCAGGAGAGAAAGGAGGGAGCTGGCCGAATTGGGAGGAGAGAGAGAGAGAGACTGACCAATCGGAACAGGGAAGGGAGGAAAGGAGAGAGGGTGAGAAGCGGAGGAACAGAGAAGAAACGGGTTGAGGGAACCCGCAACCCGTGTTCAACCCGGTCGGCACCCGTGTGCAATTTTTACGATTTCCACCCATTTTTCCGACGAATTGAACCACCTAACCACTTGGGAAACACTCTAAGACCTATCCTCTATCCTTCCCACCCCAAATTTGGTGATAATTGGCCTCCAAATTAGCAAAATCGCACCGTGGGTGCGATGAACACTAGCCTTCGATTCTCTCAATTCTGAAATGATTTCTTTCAATTGCCAGCACCCATGGCATCCTCTAGAGGCCTAGAACAAAGCCCAAGCAATGGTTGGGACGGCGGAGTTGATTTGAGGACGGATTGAGCACACCCAAAACCTAGGGTTTCCGACGGGTTTTGTTGAAATTGGAGGCCTTACCAATCGAATTGGCCTTGGACATAGGTATGAAAGTTGCTCTACTCATTAAGATCTTCATTTCTGTAAATTTTGGCAATTTTTGGAAATAGTTGGATTTTCCGGCGAGCTGGGGTGGCCGACCGCCACCCGCGGCGGCGCGGCGGCGGCACGTGGCCAGTGGGCCGCCAATGTTAATTTTAGGTTATATTTGATGTCTTGAGTTCAGTTATGATAGTGGTTTAACGTTGATCATTTGGACTTAATTTCGATACGATTCATGGTTAGGCTAAAAGGTGAATTGACGATCCAACCGTCGGATCATCACGAAAATTTGATACGTAATAGTACGTAATATTTGAGGATTACAGGAACTTACGGATCTGGAATCCGATTTACGGATCTTTCGGAATTGGAGTTATAAGTTCATAATATAAAAGGTTAACCGCCACTCGGTTTTGGAAAATGGCGGAGATCCAACCGTCGGATCGTAACAAAATTTTAGTATGTTGTTCTAGAAGCTTAATTTGTACCTTGGGAAGTAACGGATCGGAAATCTGAGTTGTGGATCTTTCAAATTGAGTTATGTGGGGTTATGACCCTACCGTCGAACTTAGTCGACGGTTGACCTTTGATCAACGGGTCTCACATTATTCTTGAATTCCTTTGTGGATGTGTATTATGTGAATTTCATATTCTATGAATAAGAGTTCTGAGACGTGGTTTGATAACTGTTTTAGGAGCCGAGCGTTCGGGACGCCTTGGTTCTGATGTTAGGGAGTCGTAGCGCGGACCCCAGGTGAGTGGGCAGTTTTGTTTTCGTATTACCTATATACTACTGTTTTTCCCAGAAAATGCATTTATATGAAAATATGTTTTAAAATGTCATGCATGCAATCGATGAGATATTTGAATTGATAATTGATGCATATATATGAATTGACGCTGTGGACGCACAGGTGAGTTTTACATTATTCATACGATTTATTTTATGTGAATTGCATTGAAAGCTCATAACCTGCACCCTAGGTGTTAGTGCTTATATTATTCACTACACCGCACGCTCGCCTTGGATCCAATTAGGTGAATGTCGTACAGACCATGTGAGGGTTCCGACATGCTAGTCGTATAGATCGCTAGATGTGATTCCGACTAGTGGGTGACCTTAGTTATGCGCGCTGATGATTGATGAGAGAAGCACTAGAGCTTATTCTTACACATTTCATCGTACAGACTACCTTACGTAGTTCCGAGTGACGTGCAGAGTAGGGCCGTATAGGTCACTGTGGTGACTCCGGCTGAGTGGGATATTGAGCTATAGAATCAGCCGTACAGGACCACTGTAGGGTCTCCGATTGATTTATTATTTCACCTGATTTATATTGATGCATTCATATTATATTTTGGCATGGCATGGCATATTCTTTCGGAAAAGCGTGAAGGATTGTGATTTGAGCTTTTGATGATATATATATGTTTATATACGATTATATATTATTTTCTGGGAAAGTATACAGGTTTTTCAGAGAGGGGTTATAATGTTGTTAAATGAAATGTTTTCGAAAAACTTTGTTTTACTGACCCACTCAATTTTGTTTTGGCGCCCCTCCAGGTTCTAGTAACAAAGTTCCTTATCGACAAGGATTCGTGGCATGTCCCTATTAAGGTGGCTACTTTTGTGGGTACGGTTTCTACCTGCATTGCTGTACTTGACTATGCTCTGACATCACGTGTGATTTGGGTTCATACCCACGCACAGTGCACTCTATTATTAGGCACCTTTAGGTTTAAAATTATTCGCATCTTTCCTTATCATCACTTTATGGCTTCGTCACCTTCCAGGTGGCGGCCAGCACAACTCGATTCCGGGTCCTAGTGGACATTCCGGATCGAGGTGTGTCAATATCTGCAAAAAAAAAAAAAAGAATTAAATAAGGTCGTTTAATTAACCTAGGGTGGTGATTTTCACACACCCTTACCTACTTTTCCAACACTCCTTACTATTTTTTTAGTACTTAATTGGTGTCCTACTATTTAATCTTCCATATATACCCCTCCCTATTTAATCTTTAATTAATTACCATCAAAAAGTAGGAAGGGTATATATGGAAGATTAAATAGTAGGATACCAATTAACTATTAAAAACTAGGAAGGGGTGTGAGAAAAGTAGTTAAGGGTGTGTGAAAATCACAACCCAGTTTTGTAGTAATTTACCAATTCAATTCATCTATTTTTGTACAATTTGATGTTCTAAATGACCTTAATTTTAATTAATTTTTTGTATATGCGATTTTTATATAGTGATTTATAATATAAATGGTTTTGAGCATAAATATAAAGCTTTATAAATCTGCTATGAATAATTTTAAGTAGAAACTTCTACTCATCCTTTGAGTAGCCAAGCTTATGCTTAATCTTTCTATTGATCTTCAATTATAGCTCATCATTAGTTAGAAAGTTTCACTCTGAAGTTGTATAGATTAAAAAAAGAATGAGAAAAAGGACAAGGGTGTGTAGATTAACAAAAGAATAAGAAAAGGACAAGGTTGTGTAGGTGTATGGTAGGTACATCACCTCATATGTATGATTAATTTTGTTATTTTTCTAGTGCGGAACAGCCAAGTACACGAAGGTTTTCTTAATTTTCAAAAAGACTAACCTATGTCATCACTTAATATCACAGTTTAGTGGTAATCATATTCACTTATAAGTAGCGGTTTTAAGTTCGATTGTCACTAAATGCAAATTCGAACTAAATTATTATGACTAATCCGTTATGAGGCTTAATTTACTCTCTCATCTCTTAATGTAGATGTCATCGTATATTAAAAAACAACCTATATGAGTTGTAGATACCATTAGGAATAGTGGTGATAAAAAAGGTTTAGTGTGTTTACTGTAAGGAAAAATAGGTTTAACCGGGTTTTCTTCTCATTCTAGATATTGTAATGAAGAATCAAATAATATCTATAATAGCAAATGGCGCTTTATTGTAGTAGGGAAAAATAATAATGCATATACACTTTGGTTCGGGTTTGATCCCGACTAATTTTCTTTTTCCTCTCATAACATTTAACAATTTAACACATTAATACTATTGTTTGTCAAAAAAAATAATTCATGATAACTTTCATAACTTTCCTAATAAAACAAGTGATTGGTTTAAAGGTCTTCTGTGTAGTTTTCTTTTCGTTACTTTCCAAGTCATGATAATGTACTATTGAGATGAATACGTTATTTGATGCATGATTCACTTTTTGGTATAAGGATACAATATTTTTCTCACAAACAAAGATAAGAATTCGAATGATGTAGGATAACTTTTATACGATATATGTCATTTAGAATTGTGTTTTTTTTAAAAGGCAACTACTAGGAAGGACTACAACGTTATAACACACATCATTTAAAATTATCAAACTCACTACATATATGTATAAAGTATAATGCTTGCACATTATAGGTTAGTGGAACGTGACACTACCAGAACTAGTTAAAAATTGTCTCAAACAAATAGGAATAGTCAACTCATTGAAATTCTCTCATAAAAATTAGAAACTCATTAAAATTGACACATATAATAATGGATTAAATATAATTAACTCAATTAGGTATGGTATCAACTCGAAAGAAAACATAGGATACTCATTTATATATTTTCCACACAAAAAAATATACATAGACTTTAAACCACAACACAATAAGAGATTTTTCAGTATAACCGTCACGCGAGATGGTACATGTGTCTTCATATAAATTATGAGATATGTGTGTTAAAAGATTAATAACTTAAAAATTAAAATTTTCAATCACTTACGTAAAAATACGTAATATATTATCCGTGTTCCAGTCACAACTAAAAATTTCTCCAACACAAGCCCAAAGTTTATAAGCCATGAAAAGATCGATGGCATCGAAAGTCTCAGAAGCATTGCATGACCTTTCTACCGAACCTACTCATCCATCGGCCTCATTCTTCTCTCAGAGGCTTAGACTTCATCCATACGCCCGAAAACCCAGCACTCTTTTTAGACCCCAAAACCAAAAACCACCCACGCATATACACAAAACACACACACACACACCCTCAAATGGATCACCCAAAACACTCCTCTCTCAGATCCAATCTTGCCTTCCTCGCTTTATTCTTGGCTTGCGTTGTTTATGTTTGCATATGGTCGTCTTCTTCCTCTCTAATAAACCCTCTCTTTCCCTTTCAGAAACGTGGCGTCGACTGTGCGTCGCAAACAGTAAGTCATCAGTTCAATGTTTTTAACCATCCGACCATCACCGGTATGTTTAATTTTCTGAATTGTTTCGTTCCTGTGTTTTTTTTTTGGCAGACCACAACCGCCGCCACCACGGAATTTAATGTGGTGGAAGACGAGCTTGAGACCGTCTTGGGCAAGGCCTCGATGGATAACAAGACCGTGATCATTGCCGTTATCAACAAGGCATATGCAGTCCAAGATGTGAAGGCAGACACCACCATGCTTGACCTTTTTATTGAGAGCTTTTGGCAAGGGGAGGGCACGATGACGTTGGTCGACCACCTCGTCCTCGTGGCGGTTGATCAAACCGCCTACGACCGGTGCATGTTTCTGCGGCTGAATTGCTACCGGTTGGAGACGGAGGGTGTGGATTTTGGGGGAGAGAAGCTTTTCATGTCTGAAGATTTTATCAAGATGATGTGGAGGAGAACTTGGTTACTGTTGGAGGTCCTCAAGCGTGGCTACAGCTTCGTGTTTACGGTAACTTCTAATCTTCGTTTTATTTTTTCTTTAATCAATAATTCAAACAACCACGCTAATTGTGTCGGCTATGGTATGGTATTGGTATACATTATAGGAAAGGGAAAGGAAGCACTGATTAGAATGTGTACTGTTTTAGATGGACCTTACCCTCACATTTCTCCTTCCTTCTCTCTTTCTGTTGTGTTTAGGAAAGTGAAAGCGATTGTCGATGGATTTTTCCCCAATGTGGGTGAATTCCATTTAGTTAATCTAATAAAACAAACAGGAAATAATTAAAACGAAAAACAAACATGGAAGCTTAAGAGTGCGTCTGTTACGAGAATATGAATGACGATTCCCTTAACTATGAGATATTTTTTAGTGTGTTGATAACATGACCTGATACACCGAGTGTAATATTGATTTTCAAGTTTTCTTAGTGCACCATATCATGTTTCCGACATAATGAAAATTTTATCCTTCACTGGAAGTATACGTGCCGATTATATATATGATGTTAATAAGCATCGTTTTAGAGTTTTGATAGTAACTTGTACAAAAAAATTATAACTGATTTAGAATTCAATATCACCTAATGTAACCAAAATAAAAGTAAATGCATGCACGTTTAATTGAAGCTTTTGGTGATGCAAGTCTTGATTGTTATAGATAAAAGAGGAAGGGAATATAGGGCAATGGAGAATTTTTTAGTTGTAACAGAAATACGGATAGTACACCATATGTTTTTATGTAAGTGGTGAAAAATTTTAATTTTTAAATTATTAACATTTTAACACACATAACCCACAATTTATATAAAGACACATAGTGTACTATCTCGTGTGATGATCACATTGAAAAATATCTCTAGTGCAATGACCAGTTGTGCCATTGACTTTCATGAACTATTACGAAGGTGGCGCCACGTCCCCCCCCCCCCCCCAAAAAACAAAAAGAGTAAGATTTTCTTGTGAATTGGGTTCGCACGCATGACCAATATCTAACAACAAATAATACTATTGAACACATTACAATCATTTATGTCATCGATGTTGTCACTACATTTACGAGAAAATATCTCCTAGAGACTAGAATAATGGTTGTTTGTCAGTAGTTCCAAAAGTTTGGAAACCATTGCCAGTGACCACTTTTAGATATGATAGTAAGTTAGTAACGCCAATATGTTGATTGGCTTATTGACCATGCATTTTTATCTTTTTGTGTATAGGCAAATAAGATATAACTAGGATTACACTCATTTCAGTTTTATAGGAGATGATTATTTTTATTAAAGCAAATATCCTAATTAAATTATAAGACGGAAATTCGAACTTAGGGTGACATTGACTTCATTCCCTAAAATGTAGGGTGAGAAACTCCCTTACGAAAACATGAGAAAAATAAATACATTGAACAGTTTACAAACATTTTGATGTGCATTTGCATAATTGTGATTTGTAAAGATCATTCATATGTATGTTTATCTAAAGAACATAAATTAAGAATAAAAAGAATTTGAATTAAGTTGGTTGGTGGGGTTTAAAATGGAAAAAGAAAAAAATGTTAGTTTATTTAAGATAACATAACTTAAAAGTGACAAAAATTCTTACCCAAAAGAAAAAAAATAAGGTTAAAACCATCCACGACAATTTCTAAATTATAGGTCTTGAAGTTTGAACATTCGCCGTTCACAAATCTAAATTGGGGTGTGATACCTTTTTTTACTTCTCTCACTCTTTTAATTTTCGACCGTCGGATCAGATGAATTAAAGAAGATCAAAAGACAGAAATTAACAAGAGGTGTGGGAGAAGTAAAAATGAGTGTGTGTATAGCACACCCTATCTAAATTATGCCTTTTGGTGGATCTAAATATTAGATTTTGAGTCAGACGTGTTGAAGTTGATCAGAGTAGGTTTGATTTTCTGTTCCCTCTTTTGAAGTTTGGAAGTGAAGTCGTATGAATGTAGCTAACCTTCTTCGCCTTACGTGAAACCGCACTAATGGGTTGGTTTTGCTTTTATTGAGAAGACATCATCCAATTTTATGTAATTTCCCATCTTTTGCACTTTGAATTACCTCTTTTTTTTTTATTTATTTATTTATTTTATTTATTTATGTTTTGAAGACAAAAATGAATTGGTGCGAAGGGATGGCCTACCACTTCATTATTGATGTGGTTATCTAAGCGTTCATGTACATTTTGTTTTTTTTTTCTCCATAAATTATTCGTATTTTTTTAACAAGGATAAATTATTCGTATTTAAAAGTTTGTGAATTTTTAATTTTAGTAGTTAATAATTGTTACAAGAATTTGACTCTTACTCTAACATTTCTATCAAAATTGATTCTCAATAAAAAAAACAATGGTCATAAACTCGATGACATACAAGAATCTCTAGTTAAGAAAAAAAAACTTGAAATTTTTATTATTTGACAAAAATAAAATTGAAAAGGTTTCTTGTTAAATGTCTTCAACATGCATTTGAGATTTGATATAATTATTATCTTAATTTCCTTTGTCGCCTGTGTATTCTTGTTAATTGTTATACTAATTAACGAGAAATAAAAGTCCAAAATTAAAGTAACATTGATTAAACCATAATGTTCAGATATTTGTATACTAATTTTCCATTGGAAATGTGAAGCTGCATGTGTTCTATTGCCGACACTCCTTGAACCAATTATCCTTTGAGATCTTTTTCATCTTTCTTTACATTGTTAGTATACTTTTGTGTTTGGGGGAAGAGAACAAAGCCCTCACCGTCAGTCACCATGCATGTCACTTTACTATTTTTTTTTACGTTGTTAGTGGGGGTGGGGTGGGGGGTGGGGGGGTGGGGGGAAGAGAACAAAGTCCTCACCGTCAATCACCATGTATGTCACTTTACTATCTTTCTTTACGTTCTTAGTGGGGGGTGGGGGTGGGGTGGGGAGGGGGGGGAGAGAGAACAAAGCCCTCACCGTCAGTCACCATGCATGTCACTTTACTATCTGTCTTTTACGTTGTTAGTGTGTGTGTGGGGGGGGGGGGGGGGGGGGGGGGGGGGGGGGGGGGGGGGGGGGGGGGGTGAAGAGAACAAAGCCCTCACCATCAGTCACCATGCATGTCACTTTACTATCTTTCTTTACGTTGTTAGTATACTGCATGTGTTCTATTGCCGACACTCCTTGGACCAATTATCTTTTGAGATCTTTTCCATCTTTCTTTACGTTGTTAGTATACTTAGGGGGTGGGGAGCCGAAGAGAACAAAGCCCTCACCGTCAATCACCATGCATGTCACTTTACTATCTTTTTTACGTTGTTAGTATACTTAGAGCAGTTCCAGCGTGGGAACCCTCCTCCCAGGCAATACACTATGCTATCCACTCAATGAACAGTAACTGCCTTAATAAACAGTAACCGTTTTTTGCATCTCCACAGTTACACTTTAATAGCCCTAACAATAGGCAATAAAATAATAGTTTTATTTATTTATAAAATAATACCAAGATAATTAAAAAAAGACAAAGCAAAGAGCAGCATATGACTCTCTCTCTCTGTTGAAATGAAGACCACCAACACAGCCACCACAAACACAAAGCTTATCCTCCTCCACCCCTAAGCAATCCACAAACAGTGGAAGCCACCGCCTGTGGCTCTTCTTCTTCTTCACCTTCTTCACCCTCGCATTCACCCTCACTCTCATCATCACCACCATCCCCCAAACCCTCCCCACCTCCTCCCTCACCCCCACCTCCGTACTCCCCTTCCCGCCCGTCGTCTTGGACGCACTTCTTCACTATGCCATTTCATCATCAAACACCTCGTCAGCACCCCACATGTCCTCGCCGGAACTCACATCCATATCCTCCGCCCTCACCCGCCTCTGCGCACCCAACTGCAATTTCCTCTTTTTCGGCCTCACCCTCTAGAACCTAACAAAAAAATTAAAAAATTAAAAAAGGCGTCTGACATCAGCTAACGTCAGAACCACCTCAGGTGCTCGGGCCAGAACGAATCCACGGGCCTAGAGCTCGGCCTGCTCGGGCTCCCTCGCCAGCCAACGATGGACTTCCTCCCTGGGCAATCAGGTCTTGTGCTGAAGCATGTCCATCAAGCAAAAGCTCCCGCTGGAGCTGCTCTTAGGGGGGAGCTGAAGAGAACAAAGCCCTCACCGTCAGTCACCATGCATGTCACTTTACTGTGAATAAAAAGAAAAGCTGGTAGTTCAACTAATCTCATAAAATTTGTCAATTTTCAATAAAAAAAAAAGAGGGGGGTTAGTCCTAAGTTTTCTTGAAACATAAGTATTGTTGTGCATCATATTAGGGTATATACTACACTTACTTACCACATATTTGTATTATCTATCTAATAGAAGAAATGGCACGTAAGGCCGATAGCGGCCCCTAGAAATTAAAGTCTTGCATGGAACTCAATTGTCAGAGAAGTCGTTTGAGTGCCCTCACTTTTGCGATTACTACTACTACTAAGAATCTTGTACCACTATATGAAAATTTATTAAATGACGAGAATAACTTGTATGAAATATGTATACTGTCATCATGATGTCTCAATTTCATAATGTAATGTCGTATGAAAGAAAATTTTGCACATAACAATTTATTAGACAAAAACATCATGTGATAAACATATTCGACGTAAGTCTTCTCCGATAATTTAGCCATGGTACCATGATGACATTTCAACTTTTATCTTTGAAAAATAAGAGTATAGGACCCCATTTCGTCTTGACCTTTTCTCAAAATACTGTACCATTCTTTTGTCCGTGAGTCTCTATTGTGGTCAGCATACAACAGCTGTTATTAATTACTGTAACCACATACTCGAGTTGACATCGATCATTCCTGCCAGTTGCCAGACAAAATTAATGGAAACTTAGATTGTTTTAACTGTACGAGATATTTTCTGAGTGTGTGTACTTTTAAGTTTTAATCCATTTTAATTTGTGTCATTTTTTTATAAACAAATGATATTATTTATATTTAAAAAGAATATGAGTTTAGTCTCATAATGAGCTATCAATAATATGGTTCAAATTCGTCTTTGACAATAATCGAACTTGAGACGATTCAAATTCGCATTTGACAATAACCGAACATGTGATCTATTACTTACAAGTGCAGAGGAATACCACTAGATCGTAGTATTAAATGATAATTGAATATGTGTCATTGAATAATTAAGGGAGTGAAAATTCTATGTGTATAACTATAAGGCGTGGGTCGGAAGAAGGATTTTATATCGATAGCGTCGATATCAGTAGTGTCAATAATTGTATCGATAATTATGGTGTACTAATAACTATACATACGTTGACATATATTTTCATCAGTACTTGTGTTGATGTACAAAACCGGAAGTCTTGGAACAACGTAAATCCGACCGTGAATCTACATGTAATGTAAATAACATAAGATGTATCGTGGTTCACCCCAAGGTTTGGGCTACGTCCACACTGATATTGTATTTATCTGAGAGGTGAGGGAGATAACCTCTGAATATGAGAGGGGATTGAGAGGGGTGAGAAGGCTTCATAAATGGCCTCCTCTAATTGTGAGGGTGATGGGTCATTTTATAGAATAAGGACTTCTCACTTATTACATATTTGCCCATTCCTTTATTACATAATTACATTTAAGTCCCCTGAGTATTTATACGAGGTCTAAATACGAGGCCCTAAATATGGTATAAACAGTAGTCCCCCAAGTCTTCAGTCAAGAGAGTCTTTTGGCTGGAGACTTGAAATTCAGTCCATGTCCATGTGTGGGCCGAAGTAACTAAATGTTGTCTTGAACTGATGTTCGATATGAGGCGGTGCTCAATCTGAAATGATGCTCAACTAGAAGTAGCATATGTTGCAAGGCTGCTCGGCTTGTGGTTTATGTTGCCTTGGTTGACTCGGCTTGTAGCGCTTGAAGGTGAGGGAGTCCCTTTTATAGAATAAGGGTTCGCTCATCGATACATAAATGATGGGCTAGAGTTGATGCTCGCGGCGAGGCGGTTGCTCAGTAGGCGGCGATGCTCTCTAATGATGGTGAGGGAGTCCCTTTTATAGAATAAGGGTTCGCTCCTCAATATATGAATAATGTGCTAGAGTTGATGCTCTCTAATGATGGTGAGGGAGTTCCTTTTATAGAACAATGGTTCGCTCCTCGATACATAAATATGGGCTGGAGTTGATGCTCGCGGCGAGGTGGTTGCTCAGTAGGCGGTGATGCTCTCTAATGGTGGTAAGGGAGTCCCTTTTATTAAATAAGGGCTCGCTCCTCAATAGATGAATAATGTGCTAGAGTTGACGCTCTTTAATGATGGTGAGGGAGTCCATTTTATAGAATAAGGGTTCGTTCCTAAATACATAAATAATGGGCTAGAGTCCCCCACTGCTTTGTTCCCCTAATACTAAACATCTGAAACAGAAGATTTTATTTCATCACTAACGTTTATTCTTTGGGCTTCTCATTTGTAACAGGATACCGATGTTGTGTGGCTAAGGGACCCCTTCAAAAAACTAAGCAAGAACGAAACAGAAGATTTACAAATGAGTACAGATATGTTCTTCGGGGATCCTTGGAACGCAAGTCAGTTGATCAACACTGGCTTCTACTACGTCAGATCCAATAGCAAGACCATAGCACTGTTTGATAGATGGTACACCTCCAAGGACAATGCCACAGGACTGAAAGAGCAGGATGTCCTATTGAACTTATTCCGAGGGGGTATTACCGGGGAGTTGGGACTTAGGGTAAGGTTCTTAGACACCCTCTATTTCAGTGGTTTTTGCCAAAACAGCAGGGACTTCGGGCAAGTGAGCACGGTCCACGCCAATTGTTGCCGGAGTATTGTCGCCAAAGTTAAGGACTTGAAAGCCGTCCTCCGGGATTGGAAACGGTTCAAGAGGTTCATGTCCCACAAGAGGAGTTCTGGTACTAGTACGACGAGTTTCCAATGGACTGGGCACTTTGGATGTTGGAATTCCTGGGCTGTTCCCAATTAACTCTGGTAATGCAACTCATAAGACATGAATTTTTCTTTTTTTTTTTTTTTTTTTTTTTTAAAGAAGACGTTAGTAAAGAAGGAGAAGGGTAAATCATACGAGAAGGAAATAGTTTTCTATCTTATTTTTAGAAAGTTCAGGTGAAGGAAGGGAATAATTGAACAGTGTCGTTTAAAATTTGAGGATAAATGCTCTACCAATAGAGTTATATATGCCCCCACAAAGTAGTTCGATAAATTCAAATTTATGTCTCCTTATTTTTTTTTTTTCTTTCAAGATTATCAAAATAAATCTGTATGCGATTCAAAGGTATGTTTCAAAAAATGTAAGTAGCATAAAGGATTTAGAATGTCTTAATATGGGTTTTCTTAGCATATCGTGTAATTTTTATTAATTGGTTTGAACTCAAATGGCGCACATTTATCAATCATATTGTACGGTTCATATTACTAATGTGATTCTTGTCAAATATTGTATGAATAAATGTTGAAATATTGCATTTTTATTTTGTGGTTGGAGCACATGAGTACTACCAGACCTTCGCAAATTGAACTTTTTCTTCATTAAGGTTTTGTAAGATCTAAAAATAAAGTAAACTGTGGATCTCTCCCTTAAACTTTCACCTAACTTTTAATTTACCCCCTAAACTTTTAATTGGAAAATCAAGGACTTAAACTAATTTTTTGGTTGATTTCCCCCTTGCTGTTAGTTTTTCATTCCTTTTCCATCCATATTTCTGTTAAATGAAATCATGTGCACAACATATGAGGGTAGTTTGGTCGCTTCATTATTTTAAATAATTGAAAACCCTAGATTTCTAAAATGCCTACCTGTGCAAATCTGTGTTATTCTATAGTTTTTGTGTCTGAAGGTCTAGCGAAGTGTTGTTTTTGTTCTCCAAGGAGAGTCATGTGATGTGCACGTGATAAGAGTTAACATTAATTTGAATGAAATCTATGGAAAAATAACGGTAGGGAAAATCAGCCAAAAAAATAGTTGAAGTCCTTGATTTTCCAATTTAAAAGTTTAGGGGGGTAAATCAGAAGTTAGCTAAAAATTCAAGAGGAAATCGGCAGTTTACTCCTCAAAAATATTAAAATGCATACTCTTGAGATAAAATGGTGTAAAAGTTTGTAAATATTAAGTGTTCATTGTTGATCATGTATTACTTTAAGAGTTGCTTTTACATTTTTTTCTTTTTATTTTGTATTGCATACTTCAAAAGTTGAAAATACCATCCGATAACACTCAACGAACTTCATTTCAAGTTATTTACCTTTTTTTGTCACTTAGTATTAAAGTTTAGTGATACTTTTTTCCATTTATACGTAAAAGGTCTTAAGTTGGATTGTCACAAAAAACGAATTCAAACTAAATTAATATAGCTAGCTCGTCGTGAGGTTTAACCACTCATCCACCAAAAAAGTTATATACCGTCCTTAAGCTCTCTAAAGTTCTCATTTTTTAAGGATCTTTAATTTTAACCCAATCAAAACCTTTCTCAAATTTGATATATTTTGGAATAAGTAGTCCAGACTTTAGACTTTGCATTGCAGTTTTTGTTATGTAATTATGAGGATACAGACTTTGCCTCATAGTTTCTGTCTTATTGTAGTCGAACTAGTCACATCTTATGTTGAATTTTAAAATGAGTATCGACTATTTTAATTATTCTTCTCATTTTTTGACTTCATCATATGCCAAGTTTGTGATGCAAATTTTGTATACGACTGATTTGACAAAATTTTACCTACAAGAGAACAAACATTGTTAGTCTAATTGACAAATACCTCGAAATAAATTTGGAAGGTGTGCACCAAAGTGTATACGATGCCTAAGTAAGAAAAGTTGTAAAGAGAAAAGAGAACTTAAAAGACTTCTGAGTAGTAAGTGGTTACTATGGTTTTCTCTGTTTAACCTGACTATTTATAGAGATCTGAACCCTAGTAGGTAACTGGGAGGGGAGGTTGCAAACCATACTAGGCAGTCTTTGATGGTGCATGTCAGTCGTTATAGTCATGCCAGCTAGTAATCCTGAAGATCCCTGTTGTAGGGCGCCTAGCGTATTGGACACCCAAGGAGAGACTCCGAAGGGTTAGCTTCTTGCCACCATTGGGTTGGGTATGGCCCGATGGCAGGACATAATATGGGCTTGAAGCACCTGTGATATGGTGGTGGCCTAAAAGCCTATTACCCATAGAGTAGACTAATGTCACATTCCCTTGAGGTAATATGTGTATGCTCAAGATGTTAAGACTGTCATAGTGAGTATATAGTCCACATGGTAAAACCGTCATAGGGAGTATATACTCCACGTGCCCTCCTATTAGATGTGATTAATTTATGTTTCTATAAATACCCCACATATGCTTGAGTTTAAGTGGGAAACAAAAAGAGATGTAGTTCCTATTTGTAGATTTTTTTTTTTGTCTTTCTTTAAGGATTTAGCTTAAATAAGAGATAACCCTTGCTGGAATTCTCACAGATTCCTTACTTTAAAATTCAGGCTTTGCGTAGAGAATTCATAGAGAAAATTTCAAGTATGAAAAATTTCCCCCTTCTTCTTCCCGTCCTCGATGATGTTGCCTCAACTCAACATGCCTAGTCTGTTGCTGCTTGCTGTGCGTGCTGAAGCGCGCAGGTGAAGCCGGATAACTATGGAGTTAGGGTGCGACTTGAATGCGACTCATTGTGCAATCGGATCACGAGGAAATCGTAGATATGGTCCCTTAACTTTAACTTAATTGGAGCAATGATCCCTCAACTAAAAATCCATTACCATTGGTCTCTCAACTCATCAAAACGTGCAGCTATGGTCCCTCAACTAAAAATCCATTACCATTGGTCCCTCAACTTTAATTCAACTTGATAAATGGTCCCTTAACTTTAACCCAATTGTAGCAATGGTCTTTCCAACATAACTCGTTTTGACAAAAAATTTGATGTAGTTGACGAAAAGGACTATAATTACACACTTTGATGAGTTGAGGGACCCTAATTATATAAATGGTTATTCCAACATAATTTATTTTGACAAAATTTTGACGAAATTGATGAAAAGGACTATAGCTACACATTTTGATAAGTTGAGGGACAAAATGGTAATGATTTTTTTAGTTGAGGGACCATTGCTACAATTTACTCATCGGACCACTAATTGGGTCGGTTCGGCTATAGAATTTTTTTTCGAATTTGACTGTTCTTCCGAATTCAATCCAACATCAATCCATCTCCATCATTATTATCAACAAAAGCCATATTGGATTAAATTAAGATCTTGTGAGCAATTTTTGAAATTTCTTCGTTTCTTTGGTAGGTAAAGCAAGATGTTGTCTTCCAAGAAATCATGGAAATCATACATCACAAAGATGCGTGACATCAAGTTAGATAGATAGATGGACAGTTTCCACTTCATTTCATATTCTAGTCGATGTAACTATGTTTGAGTTTTCAACACATTACTTCTTAATGTCAGCTCTTGTATAGAATAGATTCTGATCAAGCGGAAAAAGCCCTATGTTATTAATAAGCTAGCACGCCCCTTTCTTTCTCCAAGTCAAGTTTCTCACTTGTTAGTCTTACCCTTACCTTTATTTATGGGATATTTGAAGAATCACATGTTTGGAAGTTAATCAAACCCCAACTCTCTCATTTCACACCCTTATTAACAGTGCTAGGGTTATTGATAAACCCTGCGCAAATGTCCTATTCTTCAACAGACTATCACCTGGGGCAATGTAGAACCTTGATTGAACCTGAAGCAGCACACTACATTGTAGACTTTTATGAAATAGGATGCATGTGAGCGGGCATTTCAAATTTTTTGTTCAGAGGCTGGCTATATATTTCTAACGTGCCCTAGGTCAATTGTGACCTGATTTCTACTGCCTTCCACCAATGCCGCCACCATCACCACATACATCAACCTAGCCACCATGGCAACCAACAATTCCCTTGTTTGAACCACCATCACTCCCACCACCCCAATATGTTAATTGCATCCAAAACCTCTCACTATCAATGCTACCACCACCAACCTTCACCATCATCGTCAGCGCCACCACCACTCTGCTACCATTACCACTCTCTCCACCACTCCCACCACCAATGTCGTTTCCCTTCCCACATTGCCACCATTTATACCCTACCATCATCGCACTGTCATTGTCATCACTACTACCACTATCACCATCACCACAGGCACCCTAACCATCGTGGCCACCAACACCATCCCTTATGCAACCACAATTTCATCGTCACCATCGCCACCAGCTTCAAATTTATACTACAATACATTATTATCAAAATCAAAATTACCGTTAGACCTACTCTAACCCTTGGAGTAAAACTCAAATTTTAGGTTCTAAACTTACTTCAACCCTTGGAGTAAAACTCAAATTTTAGGTTCTAAACTTACTTCAACCCTTGGGGCAAATATGAGTTTTAACCAAAAGCTCATTTTTGAGGCAAATTTAGCCCATGATTCCCCTGGGTTAGTGGGGCTAGGCCACCATATGTGTGTATTTTTTGTAGTTTTATATTTATAAATTCATTGAATCCAACGATTAAGATCTAATATAATCGAATCCAACGTTAAAAGAAAATATCTATTAAATCCAATAGCTAACGTAATTAAAAAAAAATTATGTGTTTCATATTCTTTCATAGTGTTCCACGAGTTTCATAGTGTAGGTTTGGTGATTTTTTAATATTCATCGGAATCTAAATATTTTTAGTTTAAAATGTTTATAAATTAAATTAAGATAATCTACATAATTTAAAAAAAATTACTTTAAGAAAAAAAATATCCTAAATTTATTCTTTAATAATTTCGGGCTAAAAATTTAACCCATAATGGTGAGAGGAGAAAAACTGACACACCCCGACCCGGAATGTCCACTAAGACTTTGAATCGAGCTACACTGACCGACACCTGGGAGGTGACGAAGCCATACAGTGTTATGATGTGGGAAAATGTGAATAAAAACTTAAGAGTGCCTAAATACCAGAGTGCATAGGTGAGCGGGAATGAACCCACTTCACACATGACGTTAGAGCATAAGTAAGTACAATTAAGAATCGTACCCTTGAAAGAATCTCCAATACTAAGAATTGCCACGAACCTTCGACGATAAGAAAGCTCAGCTAATAAAACCTGGATGGTGAAAACAAGACAAGGGTGGGTGGCCTTAGAAATAACATTTTAATAGAAACCGTATAAAACATTATAACCCCTCGTTACAACACTTATATAGTTTCCAGAAAAATCATACCACGTATCAATGTGAAATCAAAAGTATATCAACAGTAAATCCATAAATATACCACAACACCGCATTTTATCAGCAATATCAATAATCATGTGATTAATAATCCATACTAGCACGCAAGTCGGAGTCACCTATAGTGACCTGTACGACTGCACCCATATCTCATCAATCAATGCTAGCACATAAGTCGGAGTCACCTATAGTGACATGTACAACTTATCCATATCTCAACAATCAATGCTAGTTCATAAGTTGGAGTCACCTATAGTGACTTGTACGACTTATCCATATCTCATCAATCAATGCTAGCTCATAAGTTGGAGTCACCTATAGTGACCTGTACGATTTATCCATATCTCAACAATCAATGCTAGCTCATAAGTCGAAGTCACCTATAGTGACCTGTACGACTTATCCATATCTCATCAATCAATGCTAGCTCATAAGTCGGAGTCACTTATAGTGACTTGTACGACTTATCCATAGCTCATCACATATCCCTGCACACGAGTCAGAATCATCTATAGTGGTCTGTACGACAGGATTTTGTGTAAATAAATACGCTTCAGTGCTACGATCACGTGAAGACTGTGAGAATAAACGCGGGTCACCAACGAGTTGGAACCATCTATAGTGGTCTGTATGACATGATTGTGCACCTACCTTGGATCTAAGGTGAGCGTAAGGTGCGGGAGGTGAACATCACGTGAATGACTGTGCCTTGGCCACGGGCGGGAGCACTAACACCGGGGTGCAGGTTTATGAGCTTTACTTGCATCTATTATATTATGTACGCCTCATGGGCAACCTGTACGACAGTGTCGGAGTTGCCTATCATTGCAATATGTACGACAAGGTCGGAGTTGCCTAAAACATACACATAGTCATGCCATAACTCCCTCATTTCCACTAATACCATAAACTCACCTGAACTTACCTGGGTGTCCTGTGTTCACCTTTGCACTTCAAAACGTTCAAAATAATTACAAGCAATAAATATACATATAAATATACCATGATGCAATCTAATACTCAATCATGTCATAGCATTTACAATTATATATATATATATATATATATATATATATATATATATATATGTATAATATGGCATAAAATGCATAAGCTGTAACACCCTACTCCCGAACTATTTATTTTCGGAAATAATATGGCTCAACTAAACATTAATTTAACTAACTATCAATAGTTAGGATTCTTTACTTCAATTTCTCAATCCTTCACACAATGATTTATAACCAACATCCCATCACTAAATCATAAGGATAAATCTCACATTTTCCACCAATGTCCCTCACATTGCACAATTTCCCAAAGAAGGCTATTGTCTCAATTAATTAGTCTCATTTATAGTATGGCTGCATCTAACGTCTCGTTAGACTGCCTACGTACCCTAACAGGGATCAAGCCATTCGTAGTTCGCATTACTACTTCAAAGCATTCACAGTAATTATATGCAATAATCAATTTATAAACATTTGTGGAATTGTCAATCATATATATATATATATATAAAATATACGATAGAAAGGAAAAGACCCACTCACCTGAGGTCCGCGCTACGACTCCCTAGCATGCATATCGAGACATCACGAACTATCGTTGCCTATGACCAATTATCAAATCACATCTCAGAGTTCTGACCGATGGAATACATAATTTACATAAAACACATCACTACGTAATTCAATTTGAAAGATCTGCATCACATATTTCTGATCCGTTGCTTCCAAAGATCCACATTATACTTTTAGAACAACATCCTACAGTTTCATTAAGATCCAACGGTCAGATCTCCGCCAATTGCCAAAACCAAATGGTGGTCAACATTTTATTTTATGAACTTATAAATCCAATTCGGAAAGATCCGTACATCAAATTCCCGATCCATAAGTTTTTATGGTCCTCAAATATTACGTACTAATGTATCAAAGTTTGGTGACGATCGAACGGACGAATCATCGATTCATATAAATGCCAAGCGATGTATCATAATGAAACTAAGTTCAAACAATCAAACCACATCATATGGATATCAATTATGACATACATCTAATTGAACTTAAAAGGACATCGTCGGTCCACTGGCTAGGCCGTCGCCGCACGTGCCGCCGCGCGTGGTGGTTGGCCACCACGGTTCGCCGGAAAATTCCACTATTTCTAAAAATTCTCAAATTTTACAGAAATGAAGATCTTAAGAGATGAACAACTTTCATACCTACCACGAAGTCCAAAAGTGGACGGAAGATGGTCAATTTTTCCCACAAAGCCGGCGGTGCCTAAAACTTCTCGGCGTTGATTCCTCGTCTACGGTGGACCAACGGGGTCAAGGTTGGTTGGGATTTGCTCCTGGGATGATGGGCTACAAAGCCCAAGTGGTGGCATAGGCCATCGCTTTGCTGATTTGTCAAAAAATTGAAAAGAGTGGCCAGACACGGTTTTGATGGGTCGGATTTTGTGGCTTCGCCCCGCCACATGTGGTGGTTTCTAAAGGTGGTTCTTGGGTGGGTTTTGTAGAGGGGAATGAGAGCTTCAAGATGGTCATGGTGGGGTCAAAAAACTCCAACGGAGTTTGCCGGAATCTGCCTTGGAAGATGGGTGGTCGTAATGGGTGTGGGTGTGGGTGCACAGAAAGCTGGGAGCTTTCCCTTTTTGGTTTTCCTTCTTTTCCTAATTTCTGATTGGGCTGTTGCCCTCTCCCTCTCTCTAATTGGATCATTGTCCCTTTAATTTAATTGGTCCACTATTCTCACCTGGTGGGAGTTCAAAATTAACTAACAAGTAACCAATTTCAAATATCCATAACGATACCGTTATAATCCGGACTCGCAAACGGCGACTACGCAAATACGCCAAAAGAATAAGTCATACTTTTTTCTAGACGATGGTCAACATAAATCAAAATCATTGCCTCTAAACATTTTTGTCAATTCCCTCGATTAAAATAAATAAAAACGAAATTTTAGGGACGGATTGTCACAACAATTGTTTTTGGGTTATAAAATTTAAATTTTAGCCTAAGGGTTGAAGATGATTTTAGTACTAGACATGTTTCTAATATTTTCTTTTTGAAAAATAATTTTTGAATTAAACTACCACAAATTTTCTATTCATAAAATGCAAAATTCTTTTGTTGTTTCGTTTTGTATAATAAAATTCATCAAAAAAAAAAAAAATATATATATATATATATATATATATTTTTTTAAACTTTACGAATTGCTTCATACCATGCCAAGTGTGGTATGGTTAACTGTTTATAAACGGTTATGGGTATGGGTATAACCGTTTATGCAATTACCCAACGCATAAATAGTTATGCGGGTATGAATATAAACGGTTATGGGCAAATAACCGTAGTTACCCGCCCGTCATAACCAATGCCCATCACTACAAGTGTCCCATGTCCCCAACTCACATTGTCCAACCAATTACTAATTCCCACGTGTCAAATAATTCACTCACACTAACAATCCCTGTCCAAGTATTTACACCCAAAGTACCTCCTTTCCTTTCGCATATATATGCCCACAAATCCCTCAGCCTTAACCCGCAAGGTCGCAATTCTATCTCCACCTTTCTTTAATTAGGGTTTTGTTTTGGTCTTCGTCTCCTCACTTTCTGTTTCTAGGGTTTTGTTCGATTCGCAATTACGCAATCTAGGGTTTTCACTGCAATTATCTCTCTATAAATAGTATACATTGAAATATTTCATCTTTCGGTTCGGATCCTATTAGAATTCTGATTCCTTCTATTCTGCAACTGTGATCGTGGAGTTAGGTTTTCTGAATCGTTCCTTGTTTGATTCTTGAAAAGGGTTTTTTATTTTGGGTTTGATTTGGGGAATTTGTGGAGTTTTGGAGAATTTGATTGGGGAAACCATGCCTCCGAGGACGGTGAAGAGAGGTGGGGCGGCGGGAGCGAAGAGGACGACGAGAGTCACCAGGGGGACGCACAAGGCCCAGAACCAGGTCCAGCCTGAGGCTCCAGATGAGTTGGTGAAGGCCGAGGATGCGGTGCCGATGGTGGAATCTAAAGAGGATCTCAATGTTGAAGAGATTAAGGAGAAGCCAATTGCGGCGGACAAGCTCGTGGCTGTCGAGGAGAAGCCAGTTGTTGATGAAAAGGCATCCGTTATTGATCAGTCAGGGCCTTCAGAGATGGAAGTTGAAGCGAAAGCAGAGCAGAAAGGATTAAAAAGTAAGTTTTGTTTTCATTATGTAATTTTGTTGGGGCTTGATTGAATTAAGTAATTTGCTCTTGATTTTCCACTGCTCTATGTTTTTGCATGATTTTATATATGTTTTAAGGGACTGTGGTAATAATGCTTAATCTTTTGTCTATAATGTGGTTTTTGTTGTGGTAAAAGGGGTAGAGAATGAGTAACATTTTCTCAATCAAATTTCTTGTATATTTAATTTTCTGTTATGTGGGATGTTGTATAGAGCTTAGGGAAACAATAAAACCAACTAAGGGAAATAATTTAGAAAGATTCCGAAGAATAAATGTCTACACAGAAATCCATTGAGGAATACGTTTTTGTAAATCTGGTAATGCTTGCTCTTCCATGCACTTTGGTGGCTTTAAATAGAAGTGGCCAACTTGTTCTTTCAAGAACAATTAGTTCTTGAGTGGAGCGTAGAAGTCGGTGTGAGCGTAGTGGATTGTTAACTTAGTTCTTGCTCGGTTATGTGTCAAAAAGTTGGTTAATATATGGATCAAGGATGACAGTATAAACAGTGTAAGCATGGATCATACTCTTTCCTCTTTGTTTTTAGCTCAGACTGGTTTATGTGAAGAGCATAGACGGGAAGTTTAAACCTTCTAAGTGGGATCATACTGTTGTGACTGAGTTTTGGATCAATTTTGTGTTTAGACATTGTTTCATATGCAAGCATTAAGTATAGAATGACACTTCAGGCATTGTAAAAGTAGATCATGCCTTTTTTTGGGGATCCGTTATGTATTAATATAATCATGGTATTCTTTGTACTGTGTTTATCTGCGATGGACAAGGACCGTCTTAATTAAATTATGAACTCTGCTTGATCATAATGTAGAACTTGAGTCTCTTTTAACTTAAGGTATTGTCAACCGTAATTTATCGCAGAACAAGATAAGGTTAAGGAGTCTATAGATGATTATGAAAAAGATGAACAATTAGAGCTGGAGGATAATGAAGCTGAGTATGAACCTGAAGAAGATGGTGGGGTTGATTATGATGAGAAGGAAATGGAACAAGAGGATATCCAGGAGCTCGGGGATGAAGGAGATGAAGAACCTGAGGAGATTGTAGGTGAAGAAGAAGGTGATATGGCTGAGGAAGAGTTGGAAGATGGCCACGAAGAACTCGAGGGTGAAGAGTTTGAGGAGCATGCTAGCGAGGAGCATGAGCATGAGCATGCAGAGATGGTTGACGAGGAAGAGGAGCACCATGAAGTTGTAAAGGAGAGACGGAAGCGCAAGGAGTTTGAAGTATTTGTTGGTGGTCTAGACAAGGATGCAAGTGAGGCTGATCTTAGGAAAGCTTTTGCTGGTGTTGGTGAAGTTACTGAGGTCAGGCTGATGATGAACCCTCAGACTAAGAAGAACAAGGGATTTGCGTTCTTGCGTTTTGCAACTGTGGAACAAGCAAGGCGAGCAGTTGCGGAGCTTAAACATCCAGTGGTAATCTTTGATCCTTTCGTAGTTCGAGCAGAAACTGGTTTCTTCATATATTAAATTCTATTCTCTGAATGATTGCAATTCCAGATTAATGGAAAACAGTGTGGTGTTACTCCAAGTCAAGACAGTGATACTCTTTTTCTGGGTAACATATGCAAGACATGGACAAAGGATGCTGTAAGTATATTGGCTTACATCATTTCAAAATTCTCTGACTTATCAGGAGATGATTAAAAATTTCTGACTTCTTTTGATGGCTGTGGTTTCAGTTGAGAGAGAAGTTGAAACATTATGGAGTAGATAATGTTGAGGGTCTGACATTGGTTGAAGATACTAACTATGAGGGAATGAATCGAGGCTTTGCTTTTTTGGAATTTTCTTCTCGTTCAGATGCCATGGATGCTTTTAAGCGACTTCAAAAAAGAGATATTGTGTTTGGAGTTGATAGGCCTGCAAAAGTTTCTTTTGCAGATTCCTTCATTGATCCTGGTGATGAAATCATGGCACAGGTAACGTAAATTTTCTGCTATATTATAGGAACAATAGGATTCCTGGATGGGTTATCTTTCTGATGATCTGTTCTTGTGTTTTGGTGTATGAACGTATACAAAGGTCCTTGTAACATCAATTTTTTCCATGAGTGTATGGAGTCCTGGATAAATTCTCTGTTGTGCTCTTTTTTTATGTTATGGGAGATGATAGAGTTACAATATGCCCATTGATGTTCTCTTGTACAAGTAATTTTTCTAGTTTGTTGACAAATTAGCATATAGCACCTGTAACATGTTGAATTAGATTCTTTGGAGTTGTTTTTTGGGTAGCATTATCTTAATTTCGTGTTACTTGTTTTCTAAAATCTTGTTAATCTTTTCTCCTCAATTGACTATGATAAAGTTAGTTAAGTATGGGAAAGCAATTGTGATTGTGTTTCTTTGATATAGTGTTATTATGCAGTTTAGAGGAGTTTAGGTGATTGTTGGAGCTGCTGACTAAATATCTTGAGATGCAGGTCAAAACTGTGTTTGTTGATGGCCTACCTGCTTCATGGGATGAGGACCATGTCCAAGATCTTCTTAAGGAATATGGGAATGTTGAAAAGATTGAGCTTGCGCGGAACATGCCCTCTGCTAAGAGGAGAGATTTTGGTTTTGTTACATTCGACACTCATGAGGCTGCAGTTACGTGTGCTAAAAGCATTAACAATTCAGAGTTAGGTGAAGGAGACAACAAGGTGTGTTGGCTGGTAACAGTTATTTCAAAATTAGACATTACCGATGAAAGTATTTTATGTATTGGCATTTGTTGGACATGAATTTATGAATAATCATCGTCACTTTTAGGCGAAAGTCAGGGCGAGGTTATCAAGACCGCTCCAGAGGGGTAAAGGAAAACATGTTGGGCGAGGAGATTATCGATCTTCTAGGGGGGTTGGACGAGTTGTTAGAGGTTCATGGGGTCACCCAGCACCACGCCCTCTCCCTCCTATGCGTAGTGGGTTAAGGGGAGTTGGAAGTCGAATCCCACCAGCCAGTGTAAAGAGGCCTGTTGCGCTAAGAGATAGACGCCATGTGATGTCATCTTATCCACAAAGAGGCAGGCCTTTGCCTCCTCCATCTAGGTCCTATGACAGGAGGCCACCTGGTATGCAATATTTTAATTTATAATGGCTAATGGGTTGTGTGACAACTTTTATCTTGTGAATAATAATATTCCTATACTCTTTCTAACAGTTCCTGCGTACCCAAAGAGTAGCTTCAGGAGGGAATATAGCAGGCATGAGGACCTTCCTCCTCCAAGGAGTAGAGCAGCCCCTGATTATGGATCAAGGGCTGTTCCAGAAAGACGCCAATCGTACAGAGATGATTACGCTCAGCGTGGTCCTGCCTACTCTGATCCACCAAGAAGTACATCTCGTACAACAGGAAGGAGAGCTTATGTTGATGAAGGTTACGGACAGCGGTATGAAAGGCATCCTCCCCCTCCTCCTCCTCCAAGTTACCGTGAAGGTCGTGCTCGTGATTATGACACTATTTCTGGTTCAAAACGTGCCTACTCTGCACTGGTTAGTGTTAATGACGTCATTTTCTATAGCTGGAAATGTAATTTACTTGGTTTTCTCTGGTAGGATATGAAATAGGGCTTACATTCTTCTTCCATGTGTTCTAGGATGATGTTCCTCCCCGTTATGCTGATGCGGGCATCCGCCAATCAAGGGCACGGTTAGACTATGAGTATGAAAGTGGTTCGTCTCAATATGGTGATGGCTATAGTGACAGGTTTGTTCCTTGAATTGTAACATTAACTTTTTATTATCTCGTGTGGATGCAGCAACTTACCTTTTGTTGTGTATGATAGACTTGGGAGATCTAATATGGGATATGGAAGCAGCAGAACAAGTCAGGATTCTCATGGACTATACAGCAGTCGTCAGGGCATGGGCTATGGAGGAGGTGCGATTGTAATTTCTGGTTATCTGATAGATAGTAGTTTTATTGTTGAAACCATAGAATTAAGGGTCTTAAGGTTTTTTAATTTCTTTTTCAGGTTCTTATGGTGGTAGTGACGTTGGTGGAATGTACTCATCCAGCTATGGTGGTGATTATATCTCTCGTGGCAGTGACGTATGCACCTAATCTGATTTGATTAAATGAAAATAATAGGTGTTCCATTTAGCTGTCTCATATATCATTATATCTTGATTCTCTATTGTAGGTTGGAGGTAGCTCTTACTCATCAATGTACTCTGGCCGTGGTGCGGGTGGAAGCAGTTATATGGGTTCAGGTGGTTCTGGCTCATACTATTGAGGTAATTTAGATTGTTGTGTTTTTCATGTTTTGTTAAGTTTCATGTGTGTGTAATTATGAGAGCGATGCGTGTGTCATTATTACTATTTTCCGGCTGGAGATTTATTTTCTTCCGAAGGCACGACATCTCGTCTTTGGCTCTAAGAGGTCATTGGTGAAAACAGAGCAATATATGGTTACAAGTGAATTTGTCTATGGAACAGATCTGACATGATGAAGAGGATGCTGTGGGATGTGGACTGTATGAAGCTTTTTACCATTATGATGCCTAGAGTTATGGACACAGAATTTCCCTAAGAACCTATGTATGTGCTGAGGAGCCGCCCTCTTAGATTTCCAGAGATTGGATATTGTGCCAGGCTGTAGTTATTTTGCTGCAAGGAAACTCAAGATATTCGGAGATGCAAGTGCTTAGTTTATGACGTGTCTTCTACTTCATCTACTAGAAGAACTCCACCTGACGGAAAATTTGGAGTCCTGCTGCATCCTTTGTTCGTATGAATAGATAAGACTATAACAAGAGAAAGAGGATTTTCTTAATGTGATTATAAGGTATTTTGGATATTTTTAATGCTGAATCCTTTGGAAAGGTTTGAATAATAAAAGCCGTTTTGGCCGTTTTAGATCGCTTAATCAATTCAGTTCCATATCGTTGAGTGGGTTATCACGGAACTGAAGGCTATAAGGAAAGATTCAGCTTGCTTGGAATTGTACGAGATTGTGGTCCAAAAAGGTAGACCTGGAATCTGTTGCCTGGTGTGTACAGTTTTAGTTACCGCGTGATTTAAATTTGCATTTTTGACATATATATTGATATTTAAGGAAACATATTGGGAAATTACAAAGAAGAATGAGTAGGACTCTAGTTCATAAAATTATCTTACATTGCTTGCTAAAATCTCGATTGAAGTATTATTCTTAAGTTCCTTGCAACCTCTACCAAGAACTGTGAGAGTCACCTGAGAGCAAAAGTAGGACTGAAAAACACTGAAAGAACACTCTTGCTACTGTTATCTGGATTGCAGAAAGTCGGTATTTGTAAAGAAGGGATGCAATTGGCAAGTATTCCACTTTGTAGAAGCACGTCTTAATGTGGAATATCCCATACTAAGTGTGGGTGGATCACTTTGGCACGTTCACGGAGTCTAAAAGTTGGTTGTATCTTTACGAGCAATTCTCGCAGATTAAAAGCTTGTGGAACTTGGAGGTAACTAGTACCTGAGTTGAGTCCTTGTCCTTGTATTGTTCATTAGGGCTTGTTATGGTCAAGATAGCTTAAATCTTCTCAAATCCTTTCGATCAACTCATTTTGATTGCTTTAGCGTATCCAAGGACTAGTTGCTGGTTGGAAGTTGTTTCACTTGAGCGGTTTTACTTTGATATGCTTTTGATACATGCCAGTATCCTATCGATGTTCGGATGCAACTGAATGCTGGATTGAATTTTAATGGGGTGCCATATACTTTTTGTTATTCGTGTTCACTAGTGAAATACGACAACCTGATTGTGTGGAAAACCTAGACAGTCCTCGTTGTAATGGGCAACGTATTGTATTTGGTATAAAATTTGCAGGACTCTCTCTCTATCTCTCTCTCTCTCTCTCTCTCTCTCTCTCTCTCTCTCTCTAGATTGGGATTGGGATTGTGATTGTGATTGTTCTAAAGGAAGAATGGTTGGATGTGTTTTTTTGTACAGGTAAAATAAGAATTTAATGAATGAAACCTAAATACCGCGCCTTCTGGTGCGAGTCATCCAGTAAAATGAGAAATTCATTGTCATTGTAAAACTGAAGGACGTTAAACATACTAGTCGTATATAAACCACAATTTTTGCGCGTCTTGTACGCTTATCTAGTTCTATTTCGAAATTTTGTAGTCAAGTTTGTAATCGCTTCTATTTTTGGATTGTCCTCTTGGAAACCTTAACAAACCTTCGATGGCTTAATGTAGAGCAGCAATTAAGATTTGGTAATAAACACTCCTGCTTGGGTTTTAGACGTAGGAAAAAGAACTGCTTTAAACAATTGAAAAAAAAAGTATTTAAGTAACAATCTCTAAATCGAACCTAAGATCTCTCACTTACAAGTGAAAAGGAATATCACTAGACCGTAGTACTAAGGGACTGTTATCTTAGATGCAAAGCGTTCATCTTCTATATATAGGGAGCACACCAGTTTTGTGAAGCTTTTATAATAGGAAGCTTTATATATAGAGATAAAAACTTTCATTATATTTTAAGGAATTCCATTAGTTTTTAAATATGTCAAAGAGAGACAAAAATATAAAAATGACTAAAGCGTAGCCCAAAAACATGGAAACAATATTTTAAAATACCAGTCATACCCCTAAGGCTTTAGGATTGTTAAAAGAACCTAGCCTTCACAACTCCAACAAAACTAATTGTGCAGTAAGCTCAATCCATCATCAACTATTTCTGCAGAATTAGTTCAACCTGTCCTTAACAATTTTTGCAGAATCAGTTCCATCTATCCCAACCATTTTTGTAGAATCAGTTCAATCACTCTTTGACCATTTTTGCAAATTTGTTCAACCCTTCATCGATTATTTTTGCAGAATCAATTCAATCGGTATTCAACAATTTTTGCAGAATTAGTCACCCATCCTCGATTATTTTTACAAAATCAGTTCAACCCGTCATCGACCATTTTTGCAGAATCAATTTAATTAGTCTTCAATTATTTTTGCAGAATCAGTTCAACTTGTCATTGATCATTTTTGCAGAATTAGTTCAATCAGTCATCGACTATTTTTGCAGAATCAGTTCTACCCGTCTTCGATTATTTTTACATAATCAATTTCACTTGTCTTCGACCATTTTTGCAAAATCAGTTCAACTGGGTCGACGTCTGCTACTTCAAGATTAAGGACTTGGCCGAGAAGTTTGCCATCCTTCACTTTGGTATTTGCCCCTTTCGTTGGGACTTCTTTAGGGGTTCTTGATTGCTCATCCATATGGGTCTTTTGCTTCTCCTTTCTGGTTTTTTGTTTCTGCTCTGTATAACTGTCAATAAAGTGAAGCAGAAAATAAAGTACAAAAATTTAGGAATTTGCACCTGCAACACGACTCAGACATCGAATCAATGAAAGAAGAGAGAAATTAGAACAAAATTGAATTGGGTGTTGGAGGCTTCTCGTCGATTGCCAATCTTTCAAGCTCTGCTCCAACTTCCTCTTCGGCCTAATATTAAGAGAGGAAGAAAGAGAAGGGAGGAACAGATGAAGAGATGGAATTGTGAAAAGACTTTACCACTATAAATAGCACTTTTGTAACTGACACTCTAAAAAGAAAAAGACTAATGTCATCTTTTACATGTATTAACTTTTATCCCTCTTAAAATGTTTAAAAAATATTATCTCAATTTAAAATTAACTTTCCATATGTGGACTAAACTTGTGATTTTCGAATTGCGTCTAACTTTTTCATTTATAATTTTCCTAACTTAAAAGTTTGAAATATCAAATTTACACATGCATTTGCCAATGTAAATAATTTTCGAAGTGCCTCACGTGCCCTGCCCACTGCCCAAGTGTTATACAAATTATTTTCCATTTTTGACCTAGCTGGGATCAACAGTGTTTTCATCATATGACTAAGCTGTAATTTACAATATTTTCTTAACAAAACTAATGAAAAAAGTTTGAAAACTTTGCGTTTTAATGATAACGACAAAATAAAGGGTAAAGTGAATAGTACCAGAATTGACTTTAAAAAGTGTACTTTAACGAAAAACTCCTAATACTGTTCATTTTTTATACTTTTTATACTTAATTTTGTATTAAGATAGCAGTTTTTAAACATTTCAAGAAAAAATAAAACTTAATACATGTGTAAGATGATATTATTGGTTTTATTTTTCTTTGAAGTGTGAGTTAACAAAATGGCCTTTATACAATAAATCAACCGTTGAGATTTAATTCTAGCAAAACAATTGCAAACTCCATCATGCCAACCAAAAAGCTCCACCGCTTCCCTCTGCCATCTTATCCACTCATATGTTCCATGGCTGCTTCTGCATCAACCCAAATGCTCTGTCCTCTTCCACCATCCATGTGGGTTCATCGCCATCTGATAACCAGTCAGAAAAATTGGTTGGTTTCTGACCTATTATCATTTTATTTCCTCTAAATAGTAAATTTATTAATTTTGTAAAAAAAAAGAGGAAATTTTAACGAAAAAAAACTCTCGGTAATGTCCACTCTAATGAAAAATTATATTTTTACACTAAAAAGTCAATCATATACTATTCATTTTACCCTTTATTTTGTTTTTATCATTAAAACTCAAAGTTTTTAATCTCTTTTCATTAGTTTTCATTTTAAAGAAAGCTTTAATTTTTTATCAAACGATAGATTTTGTTAGTAAGTTAATTATTTTTCAAAATATAATAATAAAGCATAATAATATCTAAACTAAATAAAATTAAAACCAAAAACAAAAAGGTAAAATAATATAAAAGAACCATATAATGAAGGGTTGATCTTCCCAATTCCCAACAACATAAAAGTTATAGCTTATTTCAAACTATACCCCTAATGTTTGGGGTCAATTACAAAAAGGACTCCTCTTTTCAATTTACTACTTAAGATTCACAAACAAATAAAAATAAAAAAAATTAATACTTAAGGTTGTAAAGTTTTGGGGAACTGCCAAATTAGGGCTATAAAATCTCCAATTTTGGAGTCATATTGAATCATGCAATATTATTTTGAAGCCAATTTGATTCTAGTATGCCTTATAAAGTAACGTAGGTGGTGTATTTCAACAGTTCAAAGAGACATGTGGTAAAAAATAAAAATTAAAAGTTCAAGTGGTATTGTAGACATTGAAATTTTGGTGGCATAAATGTTAGCGCTTGCATTAAGATTACATTTGTAAACATTGAAATTTTAGTGAAATAAATGTTGACCATTGTGTTAAAACTACAACCTTCATCCAAATTCACCTACAACCCCCACCCAAATTCACCTACAACAACCAATCCAAATTCACCTACAACCTCCACCCAAATTCACCTACAACAATCCATCCAAATTCACCTACAACCTCAACCCAAATTCACCTACAACAATCCACCAATTCACCTACAACATACACCAAAACAAATGGATGGTGGTGGTTCATTCTCAAGGCCTATAAATAGGCTCCTCCATCAAAGAATCAAAGGAGGATTTTAGATACACTTTCTCTACTCCCAAATTGGAAGAGAAATCACACCACACCAAAGCCTTGAAGCCTCGAAACTCTGAAGCTCTCAAGTAAATCCCGAAGGATCAAGAAAGCCCTATCTGTTCTTCGTGAAATCCTCCTTCAAGATCAAGCTCCAACGCCCCTTGAAGAACTTCCACCCATTCAAGATCAAGCCCCGACGGCCCTTGAAGAAGGTGTTCATCATTCATCAACTGTTCGTCCAAGATCAAGCCTCGACGGCCCTTGGATCAACAACACTACATCTACACGTTTCAAAGATAGAATCAGAGGATAAATTTGTAGAAGAGATTGTAACCCCTAAATCATTAATACAAATATTATTTTGGACACGTGTTCTTGTCTCTTTCGTTTCAGGAATTTCCGTGTTTACAAATTTGGCACGCCCGGTGGGACAGTCTCTACCTCTCATCTCTATCTTTGAATCCGCAACAAGCACAAATGGCGTCAAGGAAGGCCCAAGTTGTTCTCGCTGCCAATGCAAGAAACAAGAGCGTCATCACGACAGGGGGCATCACTTCAGGCATCATAACTCGAAGTAAGGCAAAAGCTCTTTCCGCCGCCTCTTCCGCCCCTTCATCAACTCCGCCGAAGGCACAAGAGCACCCGAGGTTCGAACCGGTGATCACCCTGGCCTCGCTCAGGGCGCCAAGAGAGGAAAGCCAGAGGAAGTACTCTGAATCCTTACTTTCCGATGCCGACTCGAGCAGCGGCATAGCTATGCAAGTCATGGTTACCGGAACAACTTCAATTGAGGAGCAGCTGGCTCAGATGAACGAAGCAATCGCAAAGCTCACAAGGACTGTGGAGGAAAAAGACCTGCAAATCGCAGCACTTGTTAACCAACTAGATGCAAAGCCCGATGAGAAAGCCAGGCAAGGGGATAATCCGGTAAAGAAGGAAAACGACGAGGATGAGGAACCTCCAGTGGAGAACGTCGAAGAGACGCTGAAGCTAGACCAAGCGGCGACACTCATGGGGTCTCTCTCTCTATCCAGCAGCTGCAGGAGATGATCGCCAACACCATCAAGGCGCAGTATGAAGGAAGCTCACATGATTCCGTACTATACTCAAAGCCCTACTCCAAGAAGATTGACGCTTTGAAGATGCCAAAGGGCTATCAACCACCAAAGTTTATGCAGTTCGATGGAAAGGGGAACCCGAAGCAACATATCGCCCACTTCATTGAAACCTGCAGCAATGCTGGAACAGAGGGAGACTACCTCGTCAAGCAGTTCGTGCGCTCGCTGAAAAGCAACGCCTTTGACTGGTACACCGACCTCGAGCCCGAGTCTATCAGCAGTTGGGATCAGCTAGAAAAGGAATTCCTCAACCGTTTCTACAGCACGCGCCGCACC